GTTGATATTGTATTGATATTGTAAGGAGAAATTCTGTCTTGGTCACTCATGGGCATTAAAAGGTTTAGAAGCCAAAAATCCACCCCCAACACCCCACCCCTCCAAAACTGATCAGGTTACTGCTTTGCTTCTTCCATAGAATCAAAAATATTTACTATTAGAACTTCCACCCCTGGCTGCCTTAGCTGATGTGGGTGTAGAAATATATGAAGCCACACAAAGTGCAAGTTTTTGTTCCAGGTGTTACTCTTTTTATGAAGCTAACCTGAATCCCAGAGTCTTGTTGTAAAGATGAAGAGCTGCCCTGTTACTGTTTGAAAAATAAATGCACAGTGTGTTACATCAGTGGAGTGTGACCCTGTATTTTAGAGGAGGGTGGAACTCTTAAGTTACTTCTCATTGCAGATATTTTACATCTGCATCATTTGAAGTGATGCCAATGGTTATGTGTAGTTTGTACATGATTCGTTTTGGGGTAAGTAGCATAGACTTTTTAATTTGGCAATGCCTCTATCCACCCAAGATTATCATGATTGTCAAAAAGTACCATCAATTTTTGAGAACAAATCATAAAATTCTCAGATGTTATCATGAAATAGAGTCTGGAAAGAGTAAAGCTTGTAATTTTCACACTTTTGCAAAGGATATTGTGTAATAAAGGCTTTAGTTTAACAAGCTAATAGGGAAACAGAAACAGACCTATTCCCATTCCAAGAAAACAGTCTTCACCCTTTACACCTTAACATCAGTAAACACATTCTCCACACTGTTTTCTGTACATTTTCTAAGGTGCTGACAAGGAGAATTTGTTTAACAATCAGGAGCTTCTTAAGTTAGTGATCATTTCCTTTATTCTCCTGGCTTTAACATTTGACTCAGCAGTGAAATTGTGTGGAGAAATTAGATGCTGGTCACTCTTAATGGTCAAAGGGTTCAGAAAATGCATCTGGGCAACTGCCCACCAACCCCTCCCCTAACCTAATAACAGATACTGATATTGATCCGATTTGTCTTACCTTTTTCTTACATGAAGTGAGACGTACTGAGCATTGAAGCATTCAACCATAGCACGGGATGCCTATATTCAGAACAGATTTTTCAAATTACTTAATATATAAATTAAAGTATTTTAGAAATCAATTCTTAGAAAATTCCATTATCACCATAATTGAATACAGAAAGTGTACCTTACCTGTTCCATGAGTTTTTGAGCCAAACCTAGTCTTCTGTGTGAACGTTTAACTGCCTGTAAAGTATAATATAATATTAGTCATTTACAAAATTGTACAAGCACTACCAAATTCTGTTTATGAGCTATGAGATCCTGAGAGGAGATTTTACTGGCCTTACACTAAGCTACCCAAATGTATTTTTCAGTCCTTGATTTTATTTTCTTGCTCCTTAAATATTCTTTAACCCTTTAACTCCCAAGATCTGATTGTTAATTCTTCCCTCTAGCTGCTATACATGTCCTTGTAAATTAGTTATGAGAATTTGGTGCTTGATCAAGATAGCAGCTTTCACCTGATAAGTTTGAATATTCTTATAACCTGTTTGCTGAATAATGAATGGATATTATTGGGAGAAGATTCATATTAATCACTACTGGGAGTTAAAGGGTTAAGTACTGTACCACTAGTATTTAAAGAAAAGAATGGGGATACCAGTATGTAATTTCAGGGGAGAGGGGTGGAGAAACCATTGAAGGGGCTTTCAGGGGGGTGGACAAAATTAGGCAATTCAGTGGCAGAGGCTGGTGTGCAACAAAAAAATTTCAGACATCAAAGCTCAAGAACCAAGCATCTGGGGAGAAGTAATCCCACATCATAGCATCATTGTTGATTATTAACAATTCACAAATTACACAATTATTACCAAGGAAGTAATATGTCCATGAACAGCTTCATCAGGCTCTTCTTCCCTAAAAACAAAAATATCAAAAAAAAGAAAGAGATAATTATGGAAAAAAAGGACAACTTAAGCATTTAATTATAGATTTGAAGTATGTTTTATATCTGGGACATCATTTGAAAACTATATTCCATATTCTCTACTGTTCAATTGCAGATCTGCTGACAGATGACACAAAAATGAGTAATGAACAATGACATGTAAGAAGAACTACATGCAAGAGTATCTCTGATGTTTTCACCACAAACAGACATCAGCAACACACGTTTTCATAGACTCTAACTGTTCTAGACACAACAGATAGTAAATAAGCATATTTTATCGAACAGTCGAGACAAATCGTTATATTTTTTTTATAAATATCTCCTATAATTCACCTCCGTGATAGTGGTGATAGGTTGGGTAATTTCAGAACATAAGTGTTAAGTTTTGCACATCATTAATGCTACCTTTCAAACCATTATGTCTGATGTGTCTCAGTCACTAGAGACACGTAAAGTTTTCCTTACATTTTTGCCAGTACATATCCCACAATCTTTCCTTTCTCATCCTCTGCAACATATGACAACTGAAACAGAAAATAAAATAAATATAAGAGAAAAACCATGCATGTGAAAAACCACAGAAAACACAAATAATGATCGAGGTCAGCTGTTTGTAAATTATTTTTTCTCTCACCTGAGGCCAAGACAAACCATGGTAGAAATAATATTTCATTTGATAATTTTCAGGTAAGCACAGCAAGTTACAATGCTGCATGTTCATCAGATCTTCAGGCTGAAATGCAAAAGTAACGGAAAGTTGCAGAACCTGTGCAAATTGGCAACGTTTAGGATCGGCATATCTTTACTAAACCTTAATTGGACGAGATCAAGCCATGAACACACGCCGATTTACAGAAAAATTAACTAAACCTTACCGTAGCACACCTAATGTTCATTTTATATGCGTCTGAAAAGAGTAAAGGAAACTTTTTCCGAAACTAACTTCCGACACAGACTCACAGTCCAACTCGAACTCACATGCTACAAAAAAACTAAAATTATGGCCAGTGGTCTTACAACTTACCCATAATCCTTCTAGATCTCGTGGCGCGAACAGATCGCGATGGCGGACGATTGACTTTTCATAATTCCGGTATAAATTTGTGTCTTTGTTTCAACTGATCACGATTTTTCTCAACAGATTTCTCTTAAATGGATGAAAGCGTACTGACCTCTCTCCTCCTGTTAAACCCTTCGGGTACAAACACGGGATACTGTTCGGTTCAAGATAGTCTGGATGAAGTCGAGAGAAGGGACTCACATCTTGACACAGATGTTATTTGCATTGAGGATTCCCCGATAAGTATCTCGAGCACTGTCAATGAGGAGATGTCAAATATAACTCCTTGCTCTTCTGTCCATGAAGAAGAAGATAATGCAAGCGTAGTGGAAATTTTTGTTTCCGCAAAGCCAGGAACCTCGCGGGAGACGAAACCACCATTGTTCTTTCTTGAAGATCAAGATGACGGGGTTTCATCATCGTGTTCGATCTCAGTAAACATGGATGTTCAAGATTACTACGAGAGGATTACGAACAAAGAAGAACCTTCGACTTCTAGGAGAAAAGAAAATCGTTTAATCAAAAGAGAGCGAGATTTCACTGTCCCTTGTTTAGAGACAAGAACTTCACTTAAAGCTCGCTACGAATCTAAGTTTAAGCTGCACATGAGATTACGAAAGGCTGTTGGAATCTCTAATGCGCAAAATTTCCGGAGAAAGTTTTACAAATACAAGAAGCATTTACACAAGGAACTTGATGACTGGGAAAATTACTTAAATGAGCAGAGTGCACAGGAGGCTTACATCGCTGTTGAGAATGTAGTTGATAATGAAGGTCCACCGAAAGACTTCATATACGTGACTAATAATGTGATGCACCAAGATATGCCAAGTCATTTGTTTGACATTGATTATCTTGTTGGGTGCAGCTGTGAGCGGATATGTACAATGGAAACTTGTGACTGCCCACGAAACGGTGGAGGGGAGTTTGCTTATGACAGGAACGGAAGGGTGCGTGTGAAACCAGGCACACCTATATATGAGTGTAACCCGCGCTGTCCCTGTAGTCTGTCATGTAGAAATCGCGTGTTGCAGCGAGGCCGGACCGTTAAGGTGAGTGCTTTTCAAATTTCTTTTATGTACATTTATAATGTTGGACATGTAACCCTAGCAGTGGTTTGTCTTTTTCTTTTTATGAGCCTGGCAACCAGACTTACAGCATTCACATTATTCAATGGAATAATTTTGTCACCTGTTGGCTTGTGAAGTTTGATCCTGGTTATTAAGCTTTTCTTGTCTGTTACTACCTATGTGAGAAATTTCAGCTTTTTTAGCAAATTTATTAAGGAACAAACTTTCAAAGTTTTTTCCTGTTACCATTCTCAAGTGTTCATATGAGAGATATTTTTTGCCCAGTGATCCACATCTGAGAAGCCAAAACCAGATATGTACAACATGACCAGCTCACCTTTTTAAGAATACACTGATATTTGTCCAAGGTTAAAAATGTGGAGGTGAGATCTTATGCACTGGATCAGGGCTTGTATGAGGAGGCAAGGAATGATACTTAAGAAATATACAAACCTATTAGAACCTTTGTATTTTTGACCATTGTTCACACAACTTTAATGTAAGACCATCTATGAACAGACTTATGAGGCTGGCCAGTTCCCTTGAAGCTTAAATGCCTATTGAATGCTGAGAAGATACTTAATCATGGTAATAGGACAGATTGGAGTCCAATTCAGTCTGCAATCACTAGTATGATTCCAGACAGAATTGGACCACACAAAGTCCTGTTACCAGTTAATCAAAACTATGAAAAAATATAAGATAGAAACTAGACATTGTTATATGTTTCCTTAAAAAAAAAAAAAAAGAAAAAAAAAAAACACTACTTAACTCGGTAAAATGCAAGACACCTCTATTACACTGTCCAATTACAAGCATGACATGCACACTGTTCTATTAGTGCTCAAATCGGACTGGTGATAACCATTCATGTCCAAGAATTTTGTTTTAGTTTTGATTAAAGGGGATATCAGGGAGTTGTACAGCTTTGTGGTAGTTTTCTGTACTCAGATATGACCCTTTGATGGGAACTTCTGTTGGAGCAGGAAGGCCCAACTTTCAACCTGAGACCTCCAACACTACTGTGGGCCACCTTCAAACCTTTACACCCTAAAATCAATATGCATATTCTCCATACTGTTCTTTATACATTTCCAAAGGTCCTGACAAAGAGAATTTGTGTAACAATCAACAGCTTTTTTTACTTGGTGATCATTTCCATTATTCTCATGATATTAATATGTGATTCAGGGGTGATAATGTAAGGAGAAACTAGATGCTGGTCACACTTAGAGGTCAAAGGGTCAAAGAAATGAGAATTATGTCTTCCCTGGGTGCTCCAGCTTAACAGGAGTTCTGCGCTGATCACTACAATTCTGTTTAGCTGGCCTTTCAAAGTTGGACTTACTAACAGGGCGGCTGGGTTGAAGATTTAGTAAAGCTACGATACAGATATTTTGTGTTGGGTTCACAAAATTATGGCATTGATTTCAAGGTAGCTTTATTTGATTGTAATAACATTGCCTTCATTTTCCTCCACCAATTCCCATCCATGCTCCCTCAAGGAAGATTTTAGCAGCTGATCACTCTCTATATATTCAATAATATAATAAGCCACTCATGATCATTGAAGCACACTATTGTTTGTAAAATAAAACTTTCCCTCCATTGTTGTACACAGAGAGCAAAATGTCTCTGTTTCATAAAGTATTAATAAGGTATTAGAGAAATACCTTATAAAGAAAATGAAATAAAGAAATAAAAAAATCAAATACTTTAAGTCTCTTCTGAAGTTACTATTGTTAAGATGTAAGGTTATAGGATTTGTCTGAACATAATGTAAATCCTTTGAAGACAGCTTTTTCTTGGTTTCTTTGACCCATGTTAAGTTCAACATTATCAAATATGAAATAGAGGTAAGAGCCATCACAATATAAACTTAGGGCAGAAATTGTTTGCATAAGTTATGGGGGTTGAGTTGAGAACGTGTGATCTTTAGTTTTAGTTGACTTCAACTGCGTTGCCTTTGTGGTGTGGCATCCATTCAAGTCAGGTGTAGTTTCATACTGGTACAAACTACCAGGGTCTCTGCCCTCTCTGATCCTCACTTTTTTAAGGTCTGCAGCCTCTTCTTTTCCTCAGCACTGCCTGAAGATGTTGCCATGTCATCAGTGACTGTGGGGTCCAACTAACCCCATTCTGTTGAATATTGCCTGCCCACATTTTGTAGGGCTATCTCCATTGGAATTCTGCATATTTCCTCCATGTCCAGGAGAGCAGATGTGGTCTGGTTGAATGTGTGAAGTTTGGTCTTCAGTGAGATTTTGCACTGTGGCAGAAAAGCCATTGTTGCCTCGCTTAGCTTTGGTCATCTCATGCTTTTCCTTTTTTCCATCTTTGCCCCTAGACTTTGCTGACAGGTAAAGCTGTCATCCTCTCTAACAGTTTCCCCTTTCTCTTTCTTGTTGTTGGTCTTTGTCTTGGTCATGTTTTTGCTACTAGCTAGGCCAGTATCAAGATGTAATCTCAAACCATAATGTGAAAAAAACTTCATTAGTGCAACATTTATCTAACCAAGCTATTAATTCTTTACACCCTAATGTCAGTATGAATATTCTCCATACTGTTCTTTGTGTATTTTGTATATCGCTGACAAGGAGAATTTGTTTATCAATCAAGAGCTTCTTTAGATGGCAATCATGTTCATTATTTTAGTGACCTCAATTTGAGATTCAGGGGTGATATTGTAAGGAGAGATTAGATGTTAGTCACTTATGGGGGTCAAAGGTTTAAGGTCATTCCACCTTACCTCTCCACTCTTGTTAATCTGGCCTTGCCAAAGTCAAGTCTCGCATGAGGATGCACAGTTTGGATTTCAGTAGCTTTCAGCATGGTCCAGTTAACAACCATAAGAGTAAAGTGGTCTTTCTCAATCTGACTCATTGCCCAAGATCTTAAGAACACAGCTGTTTGTGATACATATAGTGTCGCCTCATTTCATCTCAGCAAGGAATGTTACAGATGGAAGCAAGCATAACAATTGCATTATCCTTTCCACAGTGGTGAAGTCTGGATTTCAAGACCAAGTGACACTATTATGTTGTATCTTTTGGGGAAGACACTTTGCTCTCACCTTGCTTTTCCTACCTTGGAGTACAGATGAGCACTGGAAAACCATTGGGCAGACATGGTAAAGTGTTGGGGTGTAAACTTTGATTTGTTGGCATCCCATCCAAGGGGAATAGCAATACTTTTAGAGGCCTCTTGCTGTAGGGAACAGGATAAGCTCTGGCAGTATGAATCACTTGGCTTGGGTGCTGATTTTTCCTTTTACCTTCACCACTTTTCAATAAATGCTGGATTACCAGATAACTTCCTACTTTGAAACTTAAAAGATTTAAGAATCACTTCAGGAAGCTTATCCTGCAGAGGCTAATGCAGCCAAACGTTACAATTTTGAAGGGCGGTTATAAGGCCTCTTGCTAAATTTTAGCCAAGAAAAAAATTTGGTCTTCTTTCCTTGGTGACCAAACTTTTGCAACTTGAGGTGCTGCTTATTCCCAAAGAGTGATACCAAGTTGCAATATTGTCCTGCCCCTCCCCACCCCCTTGAACCACTTGCCTTATTGTGACCCTCGGCTACAATACTTCTAGGATTGCAAAGAAGTTGTGCTTTAATCTTAAATTTTTAATCCACCACAATCTGACCTTATGCAACTAGATGCATGCCCCCTCTTTTGGACCACTTCCATTCATGCTTGATATTTATGGTGTTTCCTTGTGAAAGCATTGATTCTATATAAATGGTGGAAGGAGGGAACCAAGACTGACAAAATTTCTTGAAGAAGTTGTTTACTCTAACATAAGGAAGGAATTTGGAAAATGAAATATCATGTATGTTGTGGTGCTGACTATG